CCCCCAGGGCGTTCCACCCTCTAAATTATAGGGGCTATGATATTCTGATTTAAGGTGTGTTCCTTAATTAAGCTGTACTGGGCTCTCTGGGAGTGACGACCATAGAGACGCCGTGAGGGCACCGACACTTAAAGCAGAGGCACGCGCCCTGTGCAGAATTGTGATTTGTTGTGCGTGGTCGGCATAACGTGTGTCCCGCAAGAATGGCAAAATGGCGTACCGAGCCAGCACGGCAAAAACGGACTTCGGCTGGTTTCAGGGCTGGGGTTTTGGGTCTAACTATCTAAGGTAGAACCCATGGGCCCCTAGGACCTTAATATACTTATTATATACCCTATATATACCCTTAAGGGACCCTAGAATCCCCTAAGGGCCCATGTTAGGGGCCCATGGGTTCAACCTTAGAGATTAGGGTCTTCGGATCGAACGACTATTGGTTTAGGAGTTGGGGCGCTCGAAGACTTGACCTGAAGGAAGTCGACACAGGCTCAGACCGTTTTTGGCGAGGGCGTGGTAACATCGAAAACCATCCGCAAAGTCAGAAACCCTAAACCCTACAGCCCAAACCTCAACTACTGAAGGGTGTTATACTAAACCCTGAGCCCCAAACTGAACCCACCTAAGTCATCAGAAGCCTAAACCCTGAACGATCAGCAAGAAGATTTGGGAAGCTGCTTGCTGTTTCGTCCTTGGGGGTCCACTTTGAGTGCAATGAGCAGCGGATTAGGATTTAGGGTTTCAGGGTTTAGGGTAGGGTAGAGTTTAGAGGGTTCAGGGATCACGGCTTCAGGGATTTAGAGTTGGATTAAAGGCTTCTAGGGCTAGGGCCTAGTGTTTGATCGCCTCCATGTGGTCGTTAGAGGGGGATGCCTGATGATGTGGCCGATTATTGGGTGTTTGCGCCTAAACTACTAAATTCTAAGCCCTAAAGCCCAAATCCCTACACCCTACCAAATTCCAAACCCAAAAAACCCTAGACTCTAAACCCTACCGAACTCTAAACCCTAAACCCTCCCCCCCAAAAAAACAAGGTACATTCAGGTCGCCATGCTTCCGGAATTCTTGGAGATGTGGAAGCAGGCGTCTCCGGCTTCCTTTAAGGGTTCCGTTAAGGGGTTTAGGGTTTAGGCGAAGGGTTAGAGTAAGGATTCCTTAAGGGGCTTAGGGTTTAGGGTTAGAGTCAGGCTTCCTTCAAGGGGGTTAGGGTTTGGGGTTAGAGTAGGGGTTCCCGTTTGTGGGGTTTTGGGGTGAGAGCAAGGGTTCCTTTCAGGGCTTTGGGTTTAGGGTTAGAGTAAGGGTTCCTTTAAGGTGTTTAGGGTTTAGGATTAGAGCAAGGGTTCCTTCACGGGGTTTAGGGTTTAGGGTCAGATTATATAACAGTTCCTTTAAGGGGTTTAGGGCTTAGGGTCAGGTTATATAACAGTTCCTTTAAGGGGTTTAGGGCTTAGGGTCAGATTATATAACAGTTCCTTTAAGGGGTTTAAGGCTTAGGGTCAGATTATATAACAGTTCCTTGAAGGGGTTTAGGGTTTAGGGTCAGATTATATAACAGTACCTTTAAGGGGTTTAGGGCTTAGGGTCAGATGAACGGTTCCTTTAAAGGGTTTGGGGTTTAGGGTCAGATTAAGGGTTTCTTTAAGGGTTCTTGTCCTTCCCGTTCGTGCAAGGGTTCCTACAACTAAGGCTTCCGTGCAGGTTTCTGTTGGGGTTCCTTTAAGGGCTCTTTAAGGGTCCTTTTGGGTTTCTTTAAGGGTTCCGCTCAGGGTGTCTATAAGGGTTCCCACAAGGGTTGCACTAAAGGGGCTCAACAGACCACATGACTAGAAGGGCTAGTAAAGATGTCACGCGTGAAGTTCTTTATCCGAAACCCCAAACCCCAAAGCCCTCTAGCCTACACTCCAACCCCTAAACCTGAACCTCTCGGTGCCCGAATCTCTGGAAGGTTGGGTCCCTATGTTCATGAGCTTGTAATACCCTAAACCTTTAACCCAAAGGTTAAGAACACGGGCAGCACATCAATTCAATACCTGTGACCACTCGACTCAATGAGGATTCCCCAGGTCCCCCCCCCCCCCCCCCCCC